AAGTTAAGAGGTTAAATATTTGAACAGATTTGTAAATATATAGACAGCCCTTGTTATTTGGAATGTGTAATAATGCCTTTTGTGGTGCCGTCTGGCTGGGAGGCTGCGAAGAGAACCGCTCCTTAGCACCTTCCTTCCTGGGAAATCAACTGGAAAGCTCATGAGCTCGCTAAACAAAAACAGGGCTACCCTCCTTTGGGCAAGGGTGATTCTACTTCTATCCCGTCTTTCAAAATAAGAAGAAAAGATGGTGGTGGGCGGGTGGGTGGGTGGGGGTAGAATAAAGGAAAAGCGTAATAAATGAAAATGTTTTATTTTTCTTAGATACGATTTTTCAGGAGCACCCCAGAAAGCCATTTTCAGGTTGAAGTAATTCCAAAGTATTGTTTAAGCTAATGACATACTCTAGCTCTCAGTTATCTATTGTGCATCCATGATTTCTTTAAACCCAAGTCTCTTATCTGAGAAGTGTGTGTGTGTTTAGAAAACCTATGTCCATTAATAATGCTTCCGTGGTTGAGCAGGGTGGGTTTCTTTACGTTTCTTTGGCGTCAGTGTTTTCTAGAAAAACTGTACTGAGAGCTGTTGATGGCTTCTGTCCTCTGCCTGTGCCCGTGGGCGGAGGACACAGGCTGTGGGTGTGTCCCGCCCACAGTCGCGCGTGCGTGTGCGTATCTATATGTGAATACACGCATTCTCTCTGCTATCTGCCGCAAATGGAGTTTTTTTTTTTTTTTTGCCAGTGTTGGCGTCCTGCGTCTATTAGTATTATGCAAATAGAATCATTCCGCTTCAATATATTTTGGAGGGGGAAGGGATGAACCGTTTAAATTCTCTCATATTTTCTAGGCAGTCTTTCCACTGCGTGTAAATTCACTTGGATGCGTTTTCAGAAGTGTATGTGTAGTGGTATGTTGTGCTGGTCAGTGGGTGTGTGCCACGGAGTGTGGGCGAGTGTGGACAGCCTCTGAGCACCTTGTGAGTGATGCATGTTAGGTGTCCTGTCTATGCCCCTCCCTCCTCCTCTCGCCCGTTTTGTGTTCTCAGGGTGTGTGGACAGCCTCTGAGCACCTTGTGAGTGATGCATGTTAGGTGTCCTGTCTATGCCCCTCCCTCCTCCTCTCGCCCGTTTTGTGTTCTCAGGGTGATTATATGCGTATTTACATATGTGTGCCTATTCCCCTGCCTACATGTATTGTCTTTCTCTATTTTCCACACATTTCATATATAATCTCTTATCTTTTGGCGAAGTGCCTTTTTTATTCCTCGAAGAATGTTTATTGATGTGATAATCTGAAATGAAAAGTGGTCTCCCATGAAGGAGATGGAAGAGAAAGGAGTGTTCATCTTTCTTAATAGACGGGGCAGAGCCAGTTGACTGGATCACAGGGTTTCTCTGCACTTTCTGCGTGTGTCTGTGGGTGGGGGGTGGGGGCAGGGAAGGGAGGGGGAGTGAGGAGAGAAAAGGAGACTTCAACAAGAACAAAGATGGGACATCGCGCCCCCTCGCGGCCAGACTTCATGTCGTGCAGACCTGGTCCCGTCAGGCTTTCTTCAGCCAAAAGAATCCTGCAATTTCCTTCGTTAAACCATTCAGGAGCCGCCTCTCAGACCCAGCCCCCCGCCAAAAACCAATCACAGGGCGCCATGCAAATCACCTCTTCGGCGCTCCAGACCCGCGCCGGCCTCAGCGGAGGCGCTCGCTGCCCCGCCCCCTCCTTCCTCCCCGCCCCACCCCCTCTCACCTCCCTCCGGCCCGAGCAGCTGCCGCGGAAGAGGGCAGTGCTGGGTGCCTCATGTTTATGCAGATAATTTCCCTCGTCCCTCCGTCTTCAGCCCTCCACCTCATCCTCCCTTCTGCCCCCCGCCTTCCGCCAGCGCCTCCTGCGGTTTCCCTCCGAGTCCGCGCGCCTAGACGTGCAGTTCTCAGAGCTGTGGTCCCAGGCAGCTGTTTCCCAGAAGGCGGCCTACGCGCGCTCCTGGAACAGGCGAGAGAACCGGAGGAAAGCACTACCCTTGAAATCCTCTTGAAGGTCAAGTTTGAGGCTTGCTGAGCCGGCGCGAAAGGCGTCGAAAATGCCTCTGCAGGGTCTGCAGGAGGTTCTGCACGCAGACTGATTTTGAAATGCTTTTCTCCTTCTAAACACCAGATTAATTTCTCTGAAACACACAATGTACTGGTCACGTCCAAAGGCAGGATGATGATAGATGATTTTGTAAGCCCAGAGCTACAGTGTGTATTTGTCTTGTACATCAAGGCTACACAGCTCTTGAAACTGCAAAGAATTAGGGATGAGACCAAACAGCATTACATCTACTTAACAGTTTCAGAGAGAGAAGTAGGGGCGTGGGGCGGAGGAGCGAGTGGTGGCTCAAGACCTGCTTGGGTGTGCAGTTTAATGCCAGCGCCTTGAACGGCCCAGGTGAGCAGACTGAGCACAAATGGGGCCCCATGAAAAGAAAAAACAAATCCTCGAGAGAAACCAGTATCTGGGAATAGTAGGTTGGTACTGTTACTTACATACAGACTCTGATTTCTGGCCTTTTAGAGCCAAGGGTAAAGTATTTAAGCAGTGTTTAATACTGCTCTGAACTGACCTTGAGGCCACTGAGGGGAGAAGAAAATCACTGGAGAAAATCGCGGTTTGTATAGTGCTTTGAGTTCCCCTAATGAGAAGGCAGGAAAATTGTGAAATGATCTTGTTTCATAGACGTCTACTTCAACAAAGGAATACTTAAGGGACCTTCTGGTAAGAATTGAGTCAGTTCCCCTCAAATCCTACACCATGGAGAAGTGAGTAGGAATCACAAGATTTGAAATGTTTTGTCAGCATTTTTACTGAGTGCTTACTGCTCGACAGGCACACGGCATCATCTTCCAGGCAAAATATATTATATGCACTGTGGTTCTCAGGTGTACTGGAAATGGTGGGGAGGAACAGACATTCTGGGCAGTTTCTGTCCTGGAGTTGTTCATGGTCTTGCAATAAGAATAGATGTTCACTTAGTGTAACATGGAGCATGAAAACAGCCTAAAAATCTGTGAGGAGTGCACAGAATTAATATATTGGCATATCTCTACAGTGAAATATTCTGCAGCAGTTAAAAATGAAAGGACTACCGTGAAAGCAATGTTAGATGAAAAATGCAAATTGCAAAAGAATATATGATATTTATTTAATATTAATATTAATATCCGTTAATGTAGAAAAAATGTAAAGCTCCCAAAATGCAAAAGGTGTTGGTACATAACTATGTAGTAAAAGTATAAAACACATCAGGTAAAGATGATGTGTTTTAGGATACAGGTGACCCCTGGGAAGAGAGGGATCTTTTTACCACGTGCATTTTAGCTGTATGAATACTGTTTATTTCCTTTGGGGGGAAAAAAGGACAAAGAGAATTAGAAAGATAAGAGAACATAGAAAAATGTGGGAAGACTTTACACAGAAGAGGTGACATTGAAGCTAAGTTCTTGAAATGCTAAGCAAGAATTTAATAGGAATATTAAAAGAGTTCTCTCTGAATATGTAAGAAAGAAGCTTCTATACTTTTTATATAATTTTTAATGACATACAGTAAAATTCATATATTGGGGTATGAGTTTTACAAATGCAAAGAGTCATGTAATTACCACCACAAGCAGGGAACAGAAAAGTTCCATCATCCATCTCCTGAAATTCTTCTGTGCTATCCTTTGTAGTCAGACTTTATGCTTTATAGTCAACTGCCCCATAACCTTAAGCCCTGGAAACCACTGAACTAGTCTCCATCTTTATAGTTTTGCCTTTTCCAGAATGTCATATAAATGCAATCATACAGTATGTAGCATTTTTTTTTGCATCTTATTACTTAGCATAATGAATTTGATCTCATCTATGTTGTTAAGTGTATCAGTAGTTCCTTTTGACTGCTGAGCAATAGTTCATTGCATGGACATACCACAGATTGTTTTTCTTTTTACTTTATAATGGGGATCTTCTGTGAATGGTTATTGCATTATACTGATGAATGTGTTCAGTTATTTCCCCCAGAGGCTAAATCTGTAATCTGATCTTAAATATTATGTGGTGTTTGAACTAGATAAAACCTACTGAGTCAAATGTATAGAAAAACACACCTTCATAATCATTTGGAAGTTGCCCTTCAACTAATTTAGTTGTGATGAGTGCAATAGGAGAGACTACTAAGATGCTGATGATCAGCATGTGTGAATTTACATGTGTGTGGCTGATGACCTAGATTTCTCTTTGAGCACATCTGTGTATTTCCAAGTGTAGAATTATGGCTTGTTTCTAAATATTTCCTAAATCCCTGTTGAAAGATTAACCTTTGCCCTTTGAGGCCCAGGTTAAACTTTATGGGCAGGCTGAGTTCCTATGCTTCTGATACAAGATGACAACTTTACGTCACATGTTCAGGGGTTCTGAACACTTGTAAGGATTCCGAGTAATTCCAGATCCTGGTCTACACTGTCAACCATCAAGGGTTTGTTTTTGATAACCTTAAAAATAAAACTGTCAGTTATTTGTTCGAGCAAAATGGAGTTTACTTAGCTGAATAGCAGAGACTTGCAATTTGGGGCTTGCAAGCTATGGCAAAACCATAGGCAAGCCCAGAGAACAAGGGGGAGGAACACTCTTACAGAGGAAAGTTAGGGCTTGGGACTGACTTGGCTGTTACAAACAAATAATCAATTGGAGTAAACTCCGAGTTCTAAGTATGGTGGCTTCTCATTGGCTGAGCTGTAACAGTCTCCCACTGGCTGGGCTGTTGCAGGGGGAGGAAGAAACCTTCTTTCCTTGTGCTGGGTAGTAAAATCGTAGCTCTGCAGTACTCCCTTGCAAGGTGCGCAAGGTATGTCTCTTCCTTCCTGTGGGGTCTGCAGGAAGTGGTGGGACATGAGTGCTCCCTGCTGCTGGCCTCCCGATGCCAGGTCAGTTAGGTTTCCCTTTATTTTCAGTTTCTTCTTACGTGGCTTCCTCTTGTTTGTTTCTCAGTGGGACCCTGAGAAGCTGACAGTTGGGCTGTACAGAAGCTGAGTTCAGGACACAGTAAGTAGGCCTGTGGGTATGTAAGCATTTCTTGGTGGGTGCCTCAGAGTTCCAAAGTCAAATATCAATTGTTTGTGAGCTACCTGCTATTGCAACCTTATTTATTTACTTTAAACATCTCTAGCTCTCTCATGGCTGTGTAACTATCTCTATCAAGGGCAGCTGTCCCAGTATTAACATGCAAAATGGGAAGGAGAGAGAGAAACAAACTTCATAGACTGACTACTTTCTGGCTGTGGTTTAGAGCGAAGAGGCCAGTCCCAGGTGTAAAGAATAATAGCAGTGTTGTGATCAAAGGAGTGCTATTTCTAATCCTAGTTATGTTGGTAAGCAAGCTGTTTTCTACCATAAAATTGTATCCAATTGCCACATGTGTGACTGCACATCATCTTTAGTTTTAGTTCTAATAATCAGCATCACCCTTGGGCAAAGGACTCTAGAAACAGTTTCATTTAGGTAGTCAACTAAAAGAATAGTAAAATAGACATTCGGAATTTACATTTTTAGGTAAAGGTTATAGAGGTTGTAAGTCAAGGGATGTAGATGCTGCATTTTAGTTTTGTTTAGGCTCTGGGAGACCTTTGGAAAAAGTCTACCTTATTTGTACCACAATTTTATGACTTACAAAAGGGCAAAGGACTAAACATTGCTATTTGTGATTTTAAGATTCCCCAGCAAAGATCATTTTAGGACCTCCGTGCTTTGCTATTACAGGGTTCTTTCATGAATCATTTCCAATTGCATCAATGGAGGCACTACCATTTTCTTGCTTAGTTTAGTTACAGTGTACCTAAGCTTGGTGTTTTCTGGTGCACTTTGAAAATTTTGAGAAAGTGGCCATTTTCCCCAAAATAAGTTGATTTACAGCACTTTATTCAAGTAAGAAAATTAGGAAGCACGCACTCACAACTTTTGTCATTACTGCTGCAGTTATGTTTAATAAATATGTCCAAGCTAAGAAGTGCTGGCCTGTGAAGATGTCAGTCCAATGACTTAACAGTTATTCTCCCATTAAGAGAAGATCACCTTAGTGCTTTGTGCTACAAATAAATTGGTGCTGCCCCAGTACCGAGACTGATTTCTAATGAAAATGAAAATAATGATGGTAAAAAAAGAAAAGGAACACCGTTCAAATGACCACAATTCCATGATTAAGCCAATAAAGCTTTTTCTCTTCCAGGCACTGTCCTTTAAAGTGATATTCTGTTCAAGAGTGTCACAGTAGCATAATATAAATCAATGTTTTTTTAAGCTTTGGTTTTGTCTCTTGGAAAGCAGCAAGTAGGGGTGAGGAAAATTTTCTTTTTTCCCCATTTAGGTTCTTTAGTTCATCTAATAGTTAGGTTAATATAAAGCAGATTAACAGGAGAAAAACAAACACATTTCATTTGTACAGAAACATGATAAAAATATGAGATCCAAAGGGCTGCCTGGTAATTGAGGTTTACATAACAGGATTCCCCATAAAAGGGAAGGAGGGCCATTACAGAAAGGCAGAGGAGTTGTTTGGAAAACAATGGTTGCCCTTGATGTTCCTTAAGTAAAAAGGTATCCCAGGTAATATCTCTCTTCCTGATGCAGGCCCCCTTTCCAGTGTGAATTTAGGCAGTTGAAGGAGAGTCAAAGATTTTTTCCTGCATCTGTTGGGTTTTAATTGCCTTTTAGTTCAAAATAATCCTTGTGCCAAAGAGACATATTTTGGGGTGGTGAAATCTCCCCTTCACAGCATAAGCGGGTGGCTTGTCATCATTTTGGAATAATGACATCTCAAGGCCTGTGTGCTGCGCTGGCAAGCAAGGAGAATCCCAGAACTGGCCTGATTCAGCAGTGCCTGACCAGGATGTTTAATGCACTATTGAATACCGTTGCCCCTAGGAATTAAATATACAGGTGCCTGGAGCTTGTGTAAAGTTCTCTGTGCCATTTGAAAAAGGTACTTGGAGAAAAGATAGGCTGATTTTTAATTTTAATGTTTTACTCATTGGTGTAAGTACATTTATGTTTTGCTTTGCAAAATGTCAACAGACATCCCAAGTGGATAACATTTTAAAAAGATTGCATTTCCTGTATTTGCTCTAATATCTAAAAAATGTGGTCATCAATGCCTACAGGTTCATTGTTAAGACCATCTATCGAAATGATTATTGAAAAACATCCAACAACACTTTTATTATTTTACACATTGTCTGCAATTCTCATTGATTAGAATTCCAGCAACATTGACCTAAAGGTTTCATTCTAGTTCTGATCTGATGCATTTAGGAAGGGCTCCAAATGAAGTTCCTATCTACAAGATGGCCAGAGGACACTCTGAGAAGGAATAACTTATTACCTAATGGTATTGATGTTCATTTTGTATTATAAATAACATTATGCATTTGTATGTTCTCAACAATTTACAAAATACTTTCACATAAGTTACCTCATTTCATGTAAATTATCTCACCACAACCGTATAAGATAGGTTGGTGATGACAATTATTATCCATATTGTATTATAAAGGATACTGAGGCTCAGAAATATTGAAAAGAGCTCACTTTTTATAGGGTGCTTGCTTTGTGGTAGGCAGTGTTGTAATTATTCATGTATTAATTCATGTGATCTAGATAGCAGCTGTAGTAAGTGGATATTATTATTGTTATATTCATTTTATAAATTGAACCACAGTGGTACAGAAAGGTAAAGTAACCTGTCCAAAGCTAGAGTGAGTAAACAGTGGAGTCCATGAGAATCTGTGCAGTCTGGTTCCAGACCCAAGTGCTTAACCACCACTTTTCTGCCTAGCTAAAGTCTAGTGCCTTGTCACAGGGAATCTGGCCACTAAGAGTTGCATCATAAATGAGACCATGTGTCTTTTGACACCCAGCAAAGTGCTTTTCCATTTTGCATTTATTGTAACTGCTCCCATTATCTTTTGCTTTATTCTGCACTACGTTTTACTACCTTATGTACTTCACAACTTCTCCCTAATGGAATGTGAGCTTCCTTAGTGCCGGGAAAAGAGGATGATTCCTCTTGTATGTGGATTATCCCTTACCTTGTCTGATAATTCTAACATAAGAGGGAGTCAGTTCAATGAATTGAATTCAAGTTGTGGGACACATTAAGCCTAAAACTTTACAGGAACTTTGGTGACATAAAAGAAGTGGACAGTGGGAAGGGGACCGTGATTAAACCAGCGAAAAAGGGAAAAAAGGAAAGGATTGACATGACAGGAAGGAGTGAGATAAAACAAATGTTTATACAGGCCTTATTATGTGCCAGACATTTCATGTATCAACCCATTTAATCCTTACAACATTCTATTATCTCCTTTTTATGAATGAGGACACTGAGGCCGAGAGGTTATATGACCAACCCATAAATACATGTGTTTGTGGATGTGTATGTATGAAAAAGAGGAAAAAAGAACATGATAGAGGTTGTTTGGCCTCCCCATCTTGCATACCAACAACTCCCAAAGGTGTGCCTGGTATATTTATTTGATTTTCATCAAGTATTTCCTACCCTCAATGCTCTACCCTCTGACCTTTCCTCCTCTACTTTCTGCATGGCACAATTATCTTTTTGAAATATATATCTGATTCTGTGCCTCCTTGGTTTGGCACATTTGCTGGTTCCTCATTGTTTCTAGGTACATGGTCCATACACCACAGCCCTGTTTTACATTTTCATCATCATTCCTCAGACCTTTTATTATAATTGTACTTCAACCTTTTTTCAACTCTGGATGGTCATGTACTTTAGTGCTCTTGTGACTGTTGGGAAGGGAAAAATGTCCTCTACCTGTCACAGTTCCTCTGGCTGGTCTAAGAATTAAATTGGCATGAGACAGATTAACAGCAGAAAATAAAATCTAATTTTGTATAAATGGGAACCCTGCATCCATGAGAGGCTCAAAGACAGAAAGGTAAAATGAGGTATATATGCCATCCTGAGCTAAGGAATGAAATAGGTGACTGGGGCTTAGGGACGGAGTGCAATTCACAGGGCACTAAGGAGAGCAGAATGTTGATAATTAGATGTTTGCCTTGCTATATAATGGGTCACTCAAATAAAATTTATCTCTGGTAAAAACTGATTCTGGGAAAGATCCCCAATTTATTTTCTTCTAAGTAATGAAGGGTCTTGATTACCTTCAGCTCAAAATATTCCACATGCCCAAATGGCACAATTTGGGGAGACTTGTTCTGAACCCCTTCATGATTTGTCCTCTCTGCCTGGAATGCAGTCCCCCCACCACACTCCCTTTACTTGTAGAATTGCACTTGTTTTACAGGATAAAAGTCAAATGTATTTCTTGATGATGCCTTTTCTGATCCTACAGATAGAATAATATATCACTCCATTAATGTATACTTTATTCAAAAACAGCAGCTAACATCTACTAAATGCTTAAGTGCTGCAGTGCACGTAGTCTTGATGAAGAGAATGAGATTCAGAGGCTTTTCCTAACTTGTCCAAATCATTTGGGTAGCAGAGTTTCAGACAGATCTGTCTGACCCCCAGACCCATAAACCTAACCACTTTATTTTGCTTCCTCCATTGATACCACATAGTAGGTTGCATGTTATGTGTCTTCTCTTCAATAATATGAACTCTAGAAAAGTAGTTATTTGCTTTGCATTCTTTCTGTTTAGCACAGTGTTTATACTATGAAGGAGCTCTGTGAACACAGTTGAAAGACTGCATGGACAGCACGTGTTCCCTATTCCTGGGCTACATTTCCCTTACCTGGCCTGTCATATCCCACGCCAGATCAGGATGGTGCTTCTTGACTGTGTTCTCCCACACTGACTTCTGAAGTAGCTATTCACAAAGTCAGCCGACTTGACAGCTGCTGCCTGTGAAAGTCTTTGTTTAAAATCTTTCTTACAGATGGCCAGGAAATAATGGCATAGGTGTGATGTACCCTACTGTACTTGGGCTGCAGGCACTGCCGTTTTTGTTTTCTGTTTATGAGTAGAACTTGAACTGGCTTGAATTTTTTCTTTTTGAT